CCAGGGCCTCCCCACCCTCCCAGGGAAGGATTTCTTCCATATCTCCAACCTCAACTTCCCCTCTTTCAGTTTGAAGCCATTCCCCCTTGTCCTGTCACTCCAGTCCCTCTCCACTTTCCCAGCAGCCCCTTCAGACACTGGAAGGTGCTCCGAGGTCTCCACACAACCTTCTCTTCTCCAGCCCCATCCTGTCTCCACAGGGGAGGTGCTCCAGGCCCCTTTATCACCTCTGTGGCCTCCTCTGGACTTGCTCCAACAATTCCACGTCCTCCTTATGTTGGGATCTGTGCACACTGTTCCGGGGGGGGTCTCACACTCCGTGCACACACACACACACACGTTTTCCAGAGCAATTCAGGAGCCAAAGTCCAGCCCAGCCTGGATGTCTCTTTATCTTTGCACCTCCCAGAGGGTGGCTCCTGATTTCTCCAGCATGAGTTCACACTTGTATAAGTGATTTTTTTGCTCTGGTTCTCTTCTCCACGTTCCCTGCACAGGACAACAGTCTCCTCTGCAGTGCTCTGTGTGATGGGCCCTGGCTGTGCCTGTGACTCAGAGCACACACCCACCCCTGGCATCTGCAGGGCCTTTCATCTCTCCAAACTCACGGCAGCTTTTCAAAGGTTCGCAAATTAAACTTGACAACACCTTTGCAAAATAGGTCTGGGTTGCTAAGCCCATGTGGCAATTAGGGAAACTGAGGCATGTACTGTGGAACCAACTGATTTTTCAGCAAAATGAGCTTTTTTTCCCCCCTGAAATGGCTGTTTCGTTCTCTTATTTTCCATCATTGTGACCCCTCTAAATCTTTGATTTTTTTTTTAAATATTTAATAGTCTATGATGCTGCTGTTCCTGTTTTGAGCATCATTTTTTTTTCCATTGTAGCAGAAAGTTTAGATATTTGTTGCTTGTACTGAAGTGGAATGTGCTGCACAAAAGTCTTCATGGGCTGGTGCCTAAAAACCAAATCTCCCCAGGATGAAAAAGTGAAAAAATCGGGTCCATTTCCAGCTAAGTAGAATAGAAACAGTTAAACCAACCCCAGGGCACTCCTTTAGACAGGCTCCAGAGGAGAATTTCAAACACCAAGGACTGATGAAGTCATGGAGAGTCACAGAGAATTAGCTCAACCAGCCCATGATTCACTGGCCCCAGTTCTCACAACAGCTCCGACCAAACTGGGAGCAGGGAACCTGTCTGCTAATTACCTGTGCTCTACCCACTAATCCACTCTGCTTTCACATCCTACATACCTTCAGCCCTTTCTCACTTCTTCCACCTTTGCACAAAATCAATGCACGGCCCAGGGGATGCAGGGCCAAGGTGCAGCCAGGGTGTTTCTGCTGCAGGAGAGCCCAGGAATCCGTGTGCCAGGTGTTGGAGCCCATTGAGCAATGCCCAGGCACTGAGCAGCTCCCAGGGGGACAGCAGAGCTGGCAGAACGAGTTCAGGGCTCCGTGCTGCTCTCACATGGATCAGGCAGGCAGCAGCAATGCATGCAGGGGGATCAGTGCAGCTCTCCTGGCAGAGAGGGCACGGGGCAAACAGCCACACTGCTCTGGGTGTGCTTGGAGCAGCTCTGCAGGCACTCAGAGCTGGGATTTCATGGAATCATGGAATGGGTTGGGTCGGAAGAGACCTTAAAGACCATCCTGTTCCACGCCTGCCATGGGCAGAGACACCTTCCACTGTCCCAGGTTGCTCCAACCTGGCCTTGGACACTTCCAGGGATCCAGGGGCAGCCACAGCTTCCCTGGGCAACCTGTGCCAGGGCCTCCCCACCCTCACAGGGAAGGATTTCTTCTTGACATCTAATCCAAACCTGCTCTCTTGCAGTTGAAAACCATTGTCCTGTCATTA